AAGAAAAGCTTGTGTTTTCCAGTCTAGCCTGTTGGGGCACCATGCCCTGTCTCCAATGCTTTAATAGGAGAAAGGCCCACAAAAGTTCAGCAGAGAGTCCTTTTCCCTACACGATCATGCTCCTTCCTCAGTCCTCTCCCCTGTCAACAATGAGTTTATGAGAGTTTCCATGAGAAATCATTAGGCCTTCACCTAGTTTTGATTTTGCTTCTTCTGCTTCTTTTTGTTTCTTTAATCTTAAAATTTTTTTTGAAAGAGTACCCATTCTGTTTGGTTAATAATGTTACAAAAAAAAAAAAGCTGCATCGCCTGATTAAATTGAAATACGCTACTCATACGTTCAAGGAGACCTACTGGTATAGTGATTACTTATTGGACTACTAGCTGCAAGGTCAGCAGTTCAAAACCATTAGCCTCCCCATAGGGGAAAGACGAGGCTTTTTATTCCTTTAAAGAGTTACCCATTTTGAAACCGATAGGGGCAGTTCTACCGAATTGACTCAATGGCAGTGCATATTTTGTTGTTTTGTTTTTGTTTTTAAACCACAAGTTTAGTAGTTCAAACCCATCAGATGCTCCTGTAAAGATTTAGAAAATTTTGGAAACCTTATATATGAATCAGAATTGACTTGATAGAAGTGGATATTTTGTTATTGTTCAGATCTATACATACGATTATAATGTCCATTAAATAGCCTAAGATACATATTAAAATCTAAATATATTTATCTATACAGACACATACGTACATATTTGTTGTTTTAATCTGAAGGATATGTTCTAGGAGTGTAGGGAAAACAAGGTATGTGTTTGTTTCTGCCACTCAAAATATAAGACACTGGGACGCGAAACTAATTCTTGTTTGGGGCTGGGGCGGGCTGGAAGCTCTACCAGCTCCAGCTCCAGGAAGGTGGGGAGGGGGGCAGAGGACGGAATCCACTGCAGGGCTGCGCTGTCTGCATGGTGCATCCGGCATGGACGTGTGAGCTGCAGACTCACTGGTGTTTAGCATGCAGACAAAGAGCCTGCGTGAGGGATGTGAGCTTCCATTTATGGACCATAAGTAGACCGCGTGCTGGTGGGGCCTTAGCAGATTGGAGTCCCTTCTAAGGGGGTTCAACCTAGCACTTTGTTTTTTCAATTATGAGAGTGTGAGTTCCCTTCAATAGACACACTTGTGTGTGCACATGCACACTCGGTAAAAGTCAATGGAAACACTTCCAAGTGTGACCATGGGCTGCCCAAGGGAGACTCTCATCCACAATCATCTCGCTTCGGCCAGAGGCTTTGAACTAACCCCTAACACAGGGTGAGATTATTCTACTTTGTGGACACTTTCTGATGACAAAGGTGCCCTTTTTCTTTAGTTGAACACAGATTTTACTTTTATTCTGGATAAAAGTTGGACTGCAAAAAATTGGGGGGAAGTTTCCTTTCTTAAATTCATCTCTCTCTTCATTTTACCTGTCAAAGTATTAGGCATTGTGGACAAATGTAAGCCTTTTAGGATAATAGACATTTACATATTATTATTTGCTTCATCCATCTAGGGTTCTAATACCTAATCATGGTTATTCTGAAGAAGACATGAGTCCCAAAGAGTGATTCTAAACAAGTGAGAATTACGAAATTTTGGATTTGTCAGAAAATTATAGAAAATAACACTTGCATGACTTTATTAGAAACGAGGCTCTGACAACTCGTTTTCTAACCAAAGGTTACCAAGCTTGAGAAAGAACAGACACTGAAACAGCATGCTGAACATTTGAATCAAGTTGCTGTAAAGCTAGAAGAAAAGCACAACAGAATCACGGAATTGGAGAACCTTCTGCAGCAAATGGAGAAGGTAAGGCCGGAGGAACGGCACGGGGCTCCTCCCTGACGGGCTGCGTGAGAATTAAAGAAGGAACAACTTAAACAAGTAGGACACGTTCATTGAGAGCACCCTTCCCCATAGCAGGTGGTATCAGAAGAATTCCATACATTTTGTATCTTTACCTCAACATTAATGTGGTCCATTTTATAATGATTGATTTATCTCTTACCAAATACTCAACTCATTTCTTCTTCTATCAGGTCCTCTTTGGAATGAAAGCATCTCTTAGAAAGTCAGCTCAGGAGGGCTGTGCATGGAGACAGTGGATAAGATCACTCAGTCCACCTCGTAGCAGTACCATGGATCCCTGCCAGTCAAAGTATTCTTCTCCATTAGGCTGAGCAAAGCACCCATTTTTCCCACTCAAGTTCACTGTTAGGCTTGTGAAAAATTCAGGGTTGCACTAGGAGAGAGTTAATTTGCATGAAGTAGTCCAGACTTTGTAGGACGGTGGTTCTCAACCTTCCTCATGCCACGACCCTTTCATACAGTTCCTCGTGTTGTGGTGAGCCCCAACCACAAAATCATTTTCATTGCTACTTCATCACTGTCATTTTGCTACTGTTATGAATCGGGCGACCCCTGTGAAAGGGTCATTCAACCCCCAAAGGGGTCACCACCCACAGTTTGAGATCTGCTGTTCTAGAAGCACAGAGGCTGGGTGAATTCTCCAAACTATTGCCCTGAGACAATCGATAAACCTTTCACCTCATACTCAAAGCCCTTTGAATGAGATGACAGCTTAGCTTGATCAGTAAAATATGCCTGCCTTGACCGTGGTGCTCTCTCAAAGAATCGTTTAGGGGGATCAGGTTGACCACAGGACCCTGACAGGTTAGGTAAAAGCATAGGGAGCAGTGAGAGGTGGGGTGTGGTGGGGTGGAGGGATGCTGTGGGAAGGACAAGAATGCCGAGTCAGCCTGGAGAAAGTCAGCGGAGGCACTGACTTGCGCATGTGCGAGCTGTTGGAATGGTAGCTCCTTGGCTGCGCGGGTCTTCACAAAATACAATAGGACACAAATCAAATGAAAAAGTGAGAGCCAGTGTGAGGAAGAACAATCACATGACAAAAAGTCATTTAAAGTCATTGTTAATCTAGCTCTTATGTTTCTTGTAGTGTTCCCTTTCACATATACACCACAAATAAGCATGTAAATGGAATTACCCACAGCTAAGACTTTGGAATTCAGGTATTCAGGAAATACTGTTTTCCATTTTAATAGCAAGCCACACAAGTGGAAAATTGGCATCTGCAAAGTTGAACAGAGTCTATAAGTAAATAAGAAAGAGTACAGGCTTCAACTCCTGGTCCATCTTGCCCAGCCCGGTTAGAGTTTCTGTCGCTAGATTGTCTTATGACTCTTACTTGGTTAATGCTACTTGAGAAATGCCAAGTTAAAAATAGATTTTGAGGCACATTCACTCAACTGCTTATGCAATCAATAAATAATCTGAGTACCAACCTTCTAAGAGTCAGGCAGAGCTGGGGGGTGGCACACACTGTTCATGGACCAGACATAGTCTCTCTTTTTGCGGAGAGTTCAATGTAGTGTTTGTGAATAATGTGGGACTCAAGGAATGTTTCATCCTTCCCTTCTTTCGTTTTCCTCAAGGTCCTACGAACGAAGCCAAACTCACTGCCTTCGCGTCAATGCTGACTCATAGTGACACCCCCACCCCCACCCTGTGGGTTTCTGAGACTGCCACTGTTTATAGGAGTAGAAAGCCCATTCTTTGTCCCACAGGGCTGCTGGTGGTTTCGAACTGCTGGCCATATGGATAGCGGCTCAATACATAAACAATCCACCTCCAGGGCTGAAAATCCTGTTGGAGGGAGGGGTGTCGACTTCAAAATGAGGTAGAATGAGTAGCTGAGACCTTGGAAGTACGTTTTTAGAGAATCCAGCCTTGATCCATATTGACCCATATGTGTGGTCTGCCTGTTGGAACTCTGCATTTAGAGCAGTGGTTCTCCACCTTCCTCATGCCGCACGACCCTTTCATACAGTTCCTCATGTTGTGGTGACCCCCCAACCATAAAATTATTTTCCTTGCTACTTCATCACTGTCATTTTGCTACTGTTATGAATCGGGTGACCCCTGTGAAAGGGTCATTAGACCCCCCAAGGGGTCTCGACCCACAGGTTGAGCACTGCTAGCTTAGAGAGTAAGAGGAAAGGGTGCTGACCATTGAGCTCAGCAAGAACCTGCAGCAGCCTTCTGTGCACCCTCTAGTTCAGGGACTTTCTGGTGGGGGAGGGGGCTGTGGGTATCTCTGGGAGGTAGAGTTGGTGGGGAATGGGTGTTGGCACAATGTTCTGAAGTTAGAAAATATTTGGTATAAATAGAATTAAATCTATTTGCAAAACAAACAAGCAGATCAACAAACTATCCTGAAAGAAGCCTTGGCAACCTTTTCTTGCTTTACGGGAGACACCCAGAACCCAGCTCTGAGGAAGGGTCTCTCCGGTGGGGAAGGAGCCATGTGCACAGGGTGAGGGATTACTGAGAATTTCCCACTCATCAGCAGAAGACATGAGGTCAAAACGGAAACGAAAATTAAAAATGAACATCCTCAGCCGAAGCTGATAAATACTGCCCTGGTCGTCGGTTCCCCCTGGAGAAGGATTCATTTTCTACTCGTTTGAACAAGTTGCTGCTCCAACGAATAGCCAGTAGTGGTATAGGTCCAGTAATGAAGACATTACTTAAACCCTGCGCCATCTGTCCCACTTTAATCAGTAATGCGGTGAGAATGAATTCCATAAACACAGTGACAAGCCAGCAGAAATACCCGACCGGGGCTTTTGAGTTTGGCATATGTTCCTTTTGCTAGCAGGAAAAGGAACTTGGTTGCTTCATATGATTTGGCTTGGTGGTGTTGATTTGTAGCGCTCAAAGGGGCTTTCAAGAGCCCTCAGTGCCTCATCATCGTCGTGTAGATGAGGAGAGGGTGAGTGAGGAATGATTTCACAGCCTTACCACTACGCCCAGATAGTCTCAGGATAAAAAAATGATAGACTTGGTTCCTAAATCATTTCGAAGCTACTAGTGGGTAATGGTCTAAATGGGATGTACTCTGATCGGTACTCCTACTACCTGCTGCGTTTGAGACTCAAGGCAAGTCCATAGAGCAGATAGGAGCAGATTGCTGCTTCTTTCTCTGCAAGAGGGCCTGATGGGTGCAAACCATGGACTTTTGGGTTAATGGTAGAATGCTTTAGCCACTGAGCCACCAGGGATCTTTAAGATGACCAGCAGAGCAAAGGGATCTTCAGTGGGAACAGTGACCTGGCCACTGGGTGGTGCCCTGAAGTCCTTTATCCTTTCCAGTAGATGCTGTCTCTGGGAAGTGTCCACTGGTACAGCCGTAATTTTCTGTTTTGTCAAAGAGGAAGGGTTAAGAACAAGGTTTTTAAAAAGTCCCGACTTTTGGAAAGAATGTTCAATGAGCTAGGGAATGGTGGGAGAATGGGAAGGGAATATACAGTTTTCGGCTGCCATGCGGCTATTTCGCCAGGATGAGTTTTATAGCAAGAACTCCCCCCCCTCCCTCAATGGTGTCCCGCTTTACCAATGTTAAAATCTGGTCACCTTAGTTAAGAACCCAGACTGCATGCTTGAGACCTGACCAAGGTAGAAGATTTGTTTGTCCAGATGTCTGGTTTTCTTGAACCGTGAAGATTCATGAATCCAAGTTGGGTTGCTATGAGTTGTAATTTACTCTGCCATACAGGGTTGTGATGAATTGTAACTGACTCATCAGTACAACCGAAGACCCTATTTTAACGATTCCAAAGAAGATATGTACACTTGTATCCTTGATGTGACGTATACAAAGAGTGAGTGCACACATAGTCAGGACTTTATTCAATCCATCAATCAATATAGGACAGAATAAGATGGTGCAATGAACTTAAACAGAACAATTTAGCCACAGACATTTTAAACAAAAGGCTATAGAATAGATTGCTAGGTTAGATAAAAAACTGCTTAGTGCCACTTAGAGTTATTAAACTATAACTTTTGGGGTTATCTAGTGATTTCACATAGTCAGAATCTAATCAAATTAAAAAAATAAATAAAGTTAAACATAAAGAAGTCATCTGAGAAAAAGAAATAACTTTGACTCTGATTGTAAAACAGTGGTCCAATAGGACATTCAAACCACACACCGTGTAATTTTCCGATTTTTAAGTTTGGGTAACTTAAAAACAAACAAACAAACAAAAACACGATAGGCCCAGAAAATTAAAATCATGGCCCAAATCACACAACTATGAAGTTGTAAAATGAGGACAGTCTGTATCCAAAACTCTTTCTGATTTTTCTGGGACCCAGCACTGCCTTTTGTGATAGCATGTAAACACTGCAGCAGGAAATAGTTTGAAGCAGCATTGTCAATCCGGTTGACCCCAGCCATGTTGCCCATGCCAATTCCTGCCTTTTCCCAATCTCCTGTGCTGACATCAAAAGTAGACCAAAGCCTTTATCAGCAGCAACCATCAAAATAAATAAATAAGAATATAATTGTCCAGCCTGCTTTTTCCAAGGCTTGGCTCTTTTCTCTTTAGTTAGAAAGAGTCAGGCTTTTCAGTAAATGACGGAATTCTTCAGAGCTTATTTTTCAATGTCTTCATCTCTGCTGCATCTTAATTAGGAGCCTACTTCATCATGTGTGCTCTTAATCCTTCATGAAAAATACATTGACAATTGATACCCCTAGCTGCTCTCAGAGCATCCGTTGGGAAATGGCAACTGGTCTTGACCTATTGTTGAGTAGCTGCCAACCGCACCAGAACCTGTCCTGTTCAGGTTTCACTGGGGTCAGGGGTGTAACTGCTCCTTTGAAATTAGCTCTTCAGCTCAAACCATGCTTGTGGTATTGCACAAACGCATCTTCTGTGAACACTTTACAGGCATGCCTTCCTGAATGCACGTGCACACGCGCACAGCACCCAAGCAAACGAAAACAACTTTATTTTCTCCTAGGAAAAGAGAATGCTGTTGGAAAGGAAAACATCTTTGGAAAACAAGCTGCTACAACTCAAACCCAGCGCTGCATATACGAAAAGGTTTGTCCCTGCCTCTCCGCAGTCCTTGATAGCTTTGTTCTCGGCCGTGGAACATTGACCGTGGAGACACAGTGCAACCCTGGAAGGAACTGCACAACTATCAGTGCAGGCAGAAGGGAAAGTTCCCAGAATTCATAAATGTGTCCCTTCTCCGTTCCCACTCCTCGGAGAATCAGAGGACAAAGTTGGGGGACGGGGGTGTTCCTGGGAACTTGTGGGAGGGGTCGTTCTCCTCAAGAGTGAAGAACCTTCTCGGCTTTCAATGTGGTGCTCAAGAAGTTGCTGTATGGGCCTCCATTTCCTGTGATGCTTTTGTTTTGATTTTATGTTGTTTGGTAATTGATCTCTGCTAACGTTGGCAGTGGACAGGGTGGCTCACTAGTGGAAACCTAGTCATTTTGGGATGCTCCCCAGTGACTCTGCAGATAATGAAAGGCAACCTTGGTTCATTCCAAGCAGCTACAGAATCTACAGGAGTAAGCCGGGGGTGGAGATGGATTTGTGGGCATCACCACAAATGGCTTACTACCCACGGACGATCAGAACAAGTCTGTGGAGTATCATATCACCCTTCAATTGATGTTAGCTGAGGTTTTACCTTTTTTTTTTTTTTTTTGTCTTTTTAAGTCCAAGGTCATCATGGTCATTGCATGTCCCGCTGTAAAGGTGAGGTGGTCACAGTCTGCCCTATTTCAAGATCTGTCCATCAAGAGCTAGCGGTCACTAAGATCTTAGGGACTGTTAGGATGCTCAGGATGCACAAATGGCTCTTCTCCTTCATTTAGTCACATACGCCCCACCATGCATCTCTCAGTGTCTTGTCTCTCCCCATTTCCTGTCCTTTCCTATTGAGTTTCTTTTTCCACCGTTCCTGGTATGTTATGCCTTCTGTCATATTCCTGCATTTGTGTCCAATTCTGCCAAGGCCACAGAAATGGGTTGGCCCAGGCAAGAGTGCACACCTATGTATGGTTACACATGGGGCTGCTGACTGCAAGGTCAACACTTGGAAACCACCTGCTGCTCCTCGGGAAAAAGACAAGGCGTTTGACTCCTGTAAGGAATTCTAGTTTCCAAAACTCACAGGGGCAGCTCTCGCCGGGCCTATATGCTGGCTAGTTGGCATCGACTTGGTGGCAGTGAGTTTTTGGGTTGAGAGACCCTCATAATAAGTTATTCCTTTCCTATCTTTCTTCCAGTAAACATGCATGTAGCCACTGAAGGTAGATTTCTAAAACAGGTTTGTAGCACTGCATATCATTCCATAGAGAATAGAGAAAATACCATGAAAAACACAAGTCTTTGACATTATTTTCAAATACTCACTACTTCATTTTTTTTAAATTTTTAATTATTTTATTGGGGGCTCGTACAACTCTTATCACAATCCATACATCCATCCATTGTGTCAAGTACATATGCACATTTGTTGCCCTCATCATTCTCAAGACATTTGCCTTCTACTTTAGCCCTTAATATCAGTAGCTCATTTTCCCCCTCCCTCCCCATTCCCCCCTCCATCATAAACCCTTCATAATTCATAAATTATTATTGTTTTGTCATAAGTTACACTGTCCAACATCTCCCCTCGCCCTCTTTCTTCTCTGCCTTGTGTCTTTTCATTTCTTAAGTGAGAGAGCCCGTCCATGCAGCACTACTGGCTTTCCATTGAGCAGCCATGAAGCCTCAGTTTGACTTTATCCCCACCC